ATAGTGTTAGTAATCGCGCACTTCACGCGCATAATCTATAATTGGCCAAATTTAAACTCATATCTCAAAAACTATGCTTAAAATTAAAATTTAAAAATAACCATTTTACTTAATTTTTCGAAGACTTTCTTGCTATGATATTTTTATTCGCAAATTTTGGGATATCCTGTATATTGAACAACAGTTATTACTTACTACAGCGATGGCGTTCGAAGCAATCATAGCAGTCGGAGTTAAAACAGTCAGATAAGAAACATTTGCCATAACATATATTAAGGTCACCAGCGGCAGTGATATGTAAATTGCACGTGGTAAATTTCTATTAAGAAGTTATTCAATTGTTAATTCGTTGATAATTAAAATCAATATTTCCAGTTTTGACTTCTTTCTTTCACAGTACGAAAGATTAAACGTCTTTGCTAACTTACACGTAAGGATTTTTTAGTTCTTCCGTCATAAAATTCAAATAATTCCATCCCGAGTAAGAAAATATGCCAGAGTAAAAAGCTACAGCAATTTTCCCTGGATCGGTATTCGTGTTTTCAAAAGTATTTTTGAAGTTGTCCGTGTGTCCTAATTAACATAATAGATTAAAGAACATCGCATTGTTAAAAATTTATCAAGAAACGTACCTATGCAAAGCCAGACTAATCCAGCCATAATAATGATGACTAGTGCTCCAATTTTAGCAAACATAAATATATTCTGAATCTTTGATGTTTCTTTCACGTCGTAACAATTGATGAAAGTGAGTAAGCCTATATGTAAACACAGCAGATTTTATAAATTAAATTGAATGAAGTCCACAAACATATTTAGATTATCTTAAATTTAAAATAGATTTACAACTATCTGCTTTTAAGTACATATTTGTATTCAAACAATTAGATATTGTAAGTTTGATAAAGCAATAAAGTCTTACATATACTCAGTGCAGCGATTAATCGTACACCATCATCCGGAGTGGTGCAATTAGGAAAAAATGGTTGTACGACATACTGAGCAAATGTCAGTCCCATGATAGCATTTGTTGTAGGTCTGTAAACAAAAAAAAATATATTTTTCCATAATATTATTCATTCAATTAATAAAACTTGATTGGAAATTTACTTACACAAAAATTAAGTTAGCAGCCCATAAGTACAAAAATGAAGGCAATGCACCAAATGCTTCATGAATATAAGCATAGTCTCCTCCACTGCGAGGTATACTAGTACCTAATTCTGCATAACATAAGGCACCTATCATAGAGAGCAAACCACATAATACCCAAATGATCAGCGATAATCCTACACTACCCACTTCCTGTATCACTCCCTTTGGTGAGATAAAGATGCCTACAAACATATGTAGCTTAGCATAAATATACAGTACAACTGTACAAAGACATGAAATATGAAAAAATACATTGTAGTTTAAAACATCTGATTTTTATTTGTTGGGAATTAAAAAGTTGAGAATACCTGAGCCAAATATAATTCCCAATATGATAGCTACTCCTTCCAAAAGACCTAATTGCTTTTTCATTTGTACCTTGCCCATTGATTTTTGCTGATTATCAGATGGCAAATGAATGGATCCTTCGTCATCTGAATTTATTAGCTGTATCTCTTTCGTAGATTCATCTGAGACTTCTTTTACCATTTTTTGTAAAGCAATTTTTGTTTTGTTTTAAAAGATATATTGAAAATCTTTAATCAAGATATTAATTTAAGATGTTTTATTTTTAATTTTTAATTTTATTATATATATATATGGATTAATAAATAAAGATTATCGTAGATGATTTATGACAGCTTAATATCGGCAAGATTTCTTATTTGTATATATTAACTACATTATCTGAAAATACAAATAACAATTCTGTAAAGTTCTCTTTAGACAATTTGAAATTTGTGAATTTTATTCATAAATTTCATGTATTTGTAAAACGTGGAAATTATTATATATATATATATATATATATATATATATATAATACATATGAAATACATCTCAAAATGTATATACATAAGTATATAGTATTCTATGTTAATTTTGAATCAAATTAGCAAATTATAAAACATATGCTTTTAGACTTATTTAAAATTTAAAGCTTTAAACTTGAAACATCGTATAATCGCATGGTAATATGAAATAATATTACAATATTATGCAAAAAATTATCTAGTTTTAAAAATGTGATTTATTATTGAAAGAAATTATTTTAATATAATAATTTCGGTTAATTATAATTTCGTACTTAATAGTTTACTCTTGTTATAGATGCAAGAACTTAATATTAATACGATAAAGCAGTATACAATAATTGCATATAGAGAGATTATATACGTAACAACAAAAATACAAGTTTAAAAGAATGCAGTTCCAAAGAAGCTAACAAGCCTTTAAATAAAAACTATATTCAGGTATTCACTATGCAGTGCTAAAAATCTGTTACATATAATTTGTTACGACATTATAGATTTTCAGTACTAGTATATCGATAGTTAAGTACATCAAAAGTACGAAATAGGTAGCAGAATAGTAGAACTGATTTAGATGACTTTTCTAACCTGTAAATATAATTATGCGTTCTTTACTCTTTATTCATTTCCTTTCTTAATCTTACTTGCTATTTATGAAGTTAAAAATTAAATTACCACATGTACTATTACATTCCTCAACTACATTTGTTTGAATTTACTTTTGTAAGTCGTTAATAATCGAATTAATAATCTTGTATAACTAACGCTCGAACACGTGCACTAAGGTGCAATTTCATGGAGTGAAGAAAAGCTCAAAATGTGCTTATAAGGGAGGATTTACATTGGCGCGGAAAGACAGAATGCGGAAAGGTAGAAACCAATCAGAAGTTGCACTTAGCTACTAAGTACTAGCAAGTGTAGCACTTGGTAGCTAAGAGTAGAGATCCTATAGGTAGAGATATCGGACTAATGATTTAATAAATACTAAAATCAGAAAGGATAGAGAGAAGCGTGAGAGAGGCCACGCTGGCTTTTTGGGTGGGACCAGCGATTTCCCCCGTATACTAGCGACCCACGTCCACGTTCTCAAAAAAGGAACTACGTACCACGTCTATCTTATAACTTTGTCGATCAAATCATAGTTAGAAACTTATAACGTGGTTCGTGTCCGTGCTAATCGTGTATTATACATATATGCCACATTTTTCTTTCTTTTTCTTTCTATTTCACGCAAAACTTCATATTACATAAATTAATTATATACCTATATACTTTTTTAAAGTAAAGAATTTAATACAAGTATATATAAATGCATGTTATATGTTAAAGCTGATATTATACAAAGATCGTCTTAATTAATATATGCAATATAACATATTGTCAGAATGAACAAAGGGAAAGATTTGTTATAACGTATTATCCAGGTTTCGGTCGTATTTATAATATTATTATTTAAAATATATATTTTAAATAAAAAAAGTAAAAGAATTATTTAGTATTTATTATTTTAAAGCTTCTTTTAATCTATTTCTTATTTAATATTTTAAATACGTTTCTGGAAAATATATTTTATATTTCTCATTTTAAATAAGTTGAATAAATTTTTTACTGGCTCCTGCGATATTTT